ACCAAACTTCCAATTTTAAAAAAAATTAGGGGGCCTTTAGCTCCACGAATCACTAGAACCATATCATAAATGGGTTTGTTTTAATTTATGTTTCAAAAGTTTAGGTTAAGGGGCATTAATAATATTTTATACATCGTTACAACTAATTTGCATAAAAATATAAAAGTTAACTTTAAATTTATCAACTATTCAATTAAAATTATCAATGTGACATTGGTATTAAAAATAATTTTTATTTTTATTTTTATTTTTTATAAAACATTAATGTAAAAAAATACAATTAATATGCTCATAACTAATACTATTACAGTGCAAATTAGGAAAATTCATTTAAGATTGAAGCAGACTAATTTACCATTTTGATATTAGGTACTTATTATAGATATTTAATTTGTAGATGATAGAATAATTAGAAATAATGCAATTAATGATTTATTGAAATGTGAGAAAGTCATATAAAATAAAACAAAAATACATTCTTAAAAGGACATTTAGGTTAAGATTGCAATAGTTGTATTTTTTTAACATTAGTATTGTAAAAAGAAAAGATGACCAAGATGACCTTTATTTAATCAATTGCCTAATTAAAATAATTCATATGGTATTCGTAGTGAAATGAATGTCAATTTTTGTATTTTTTAATACTAATTAATATCTCACTTCCCATTTTAAGAAGATAGTAAACATTAGGGTAGTGTTATTGCCATACCTTTAATTACTAATGTCATGTAACAATAACACCACCCTAGAGACTACCACTCCATTTTTACCCTTATCAGTAGTCTAATTAAACACAATTTTTCTAACTAGTGCTTAAGGGCACAAATTAAGAGTGTAACAAACACATTTTTTTCTTCATAAATTTGTGTTGGAAGAATAAAAATTGACCTTTAATTTATTAATAATCTAATTAAAGTCATTAATGTAATAATGATATCAAAACTAATATCAATTTTTATATTTTTATATAAATTTATGAAAAAAAAATACTTTTAATCCATACTCTAATGACACAAATTAGAGAGAGCCTTGTTATAATCACTTATTAATAAAAATATATATATAATCACTTGTTATAATCACTTATTAATAAAAATTAACCTTTAATTTATTAATAATCTAATTAAAGTCATTAATGTAATAACAATCTTAAAACTAATATCAATTTTTATATTTTTCTATATAAATTTATGACAAAAAAATATTTTTAATCCATACTCTAAAGACACAAATTAGAGGGAGCTTGTTATGATCACTTATTAATATAAAAAAACAAAATATAGGGAGTACCTTAGAGTTTAACCAACTAGGAGTCATTCCTCTAGCCAAATATGACCTTAAAAGAAGAACTATGGTCTCTCTCAAATGATGGCATACAGTAGCCATTAAGAAGACTAGAGAATTTCCATATATATATATATAGTGCATATTAGTTTTGATTTCTAAAATAAATTGAAGTTTTAATAAAGTCTATTGTTTTATTTAATTAAAATTTAATTTAAAATTTAAAAATTTATTTTATTAAATATTGATATTTAGATTTTAAATTTTGAATCTTAATAAGAAAAGTTTTTGAATTTTAAATTGAAATTTTAGTTTTTAAAATGTAGATTGAGGCTAAATTTTTTTAAAAATTGAGACTGATACGTACTAATTGATATATATAAAAATAATGTCTATCCACCTTACCTCTTAAAAATTAAAAAGAAAATTATCTCAAAATTACGATGTTTCAATAAATTCTTATTAAAAAAAATTAAAATACTATATTTTTATATTATGAATTAAAGTCTTTGATTATCTTTCAAGATATTTTATTAAAATGACATAATTTTAAAATATTTTTTTTTCATAATATTTAAAAAATAAGATGCATGGACATTAGTCCCTATATACATCTATATATATATATATTTCTTTTTTTTTTCTTTTTTTGACAAAAGGGCAATTGTTTTACACGTTTTGTTCAGGCCTTAAGGGGCAGGAAAAGGGGAAGCTGGAACCCAAACCTAACGGAATTCCCCACAAAGGCTAATGGGCCGTTGGACTACTAGCGTTGTGCATGGGTTAGATTTTGCCAGTGTGATAACTTTTTGCAAAATCTTCTCTTAAATGAGATTCAATTATTAAGAATTTGAAATTTTAAATTAATTATTTAAAATTCAAATTTAAGGAACGAAAAGAACTATCTCTTTTATATACTCTATTCAGATGTATTAATAAATAAATAAACACTTTTCGCAAAACCTCCCATTTCCAACCGAGCATATGAGCCCACCAAATGCTAAGAGGTACAGCACAGCACTAGAAAAGTTTACACTGATTTTATGATATAACAATCGGATTTGAATGCCACGGAGAGAATGCGCACTTTTATTACTGTAAAACAGAAAATATCATGAAACCATTCAATTTTATACATCATAAGCTTTCTCAATATTCCTGAAAAAAGTAACTCCTAACCAAGCACAAGGAGGAACATTAACAAGTATAAAAATCCATCACCATTATTTGTTTATGTCACACTTAAACTTGCTCAAATATATCATATAAGGGAGTTAAGAAAGCAAGAAAACCAAATCCGAAAATACTGAATTCACTGGACTTGTATAAAATGCTGGATGATTTTGTACTACTCAGTACTACTGGCCTGAAGAAGACCACTCCTGATCTGCGAAGCAATGTCTCTTACGGTACATGGCCCGTAGGGGATGAAACCAGAGTTTGACTTTGAAGATGCCCCAATCTCCTTCATTGTGTCAATGTATTGAGTCACAAGAACCATGTCCATGACATCCCTTGATGTTGTCCCAGGTACTTTTTCGGAGAAGGCTAGCACACTGTCCCTCAAACCATCGACTATAGCTCGGCACTGCCTAGCTATCCCAACCCCAGACAGATACTTTGCCTCTGCATCTCCTTCAGCTCTCTTGATCTTTAACATCTTCTCTTCTTCGGCTGCTCTCTTCATATTCATTGCTCTCTTCAAATGCTCATCTGGTTCAATATCCACAATCAAAGTCTGAACTATCTCAAACCCGTACTTTGAAATGGCCTACAGATCCATAAAATTGGTTAGTTCAAACAAAAAGTGCGTAGTCCCAAATAAATGAAGCAGACAGAAAGGTACCTTTCCAAGTTCCTCTTCCACAGCTCTCGCAATTTCATTCTTCTGTTCAAATAGTGAATCCAGCTCCAACTTTGGAACTCTTGTCCGAATAACTAAACAGAAAATATAATCCTGTTACTTCTACCTGGGAACTATGATCTAGAAACTAGTACTCTTGAATTGAGCCCGTTTCAACCATGGCTGAATGAACTATAAACATGAACCGCTTATGGTTCAAAGCATCAATCAAAATTTCGAAATCCTCTAAACAACAAATTTTTCATATAAAAAGTACAAAGATACTTTTAAGATGAAAAGGAGACTTTAAACAGTTCAAGTAAATACTTGGACAAAAATGAGTGGAAATCCCAAATGAAAAAAACCACAGGCTGCAATTTTTATAACCATTGATCTTTTATCTTCATAACCCTCCTTAGCATTCATCAGATAGCACATCCCTTGATAACGAGCAATTTCAGTCCCACAAACCATTCTAAATTTACACACCCAATAAAGCATATTACAAGTAGATGACCATTTTATCCTTAGTTTCCACAAGGCTGTCCTTTCTTAAGTTCTTTTTCGATCATACAAAGGAAGTACCATCCTAACTAACTAAAAACACCATAGTAGGGGAAGAAACATATCCTAACTAGAGATAACAGAAACTTCAACAGTGCAATTGACAACAAAAACTACAAGCAGAAGTTACAGAGCTTAAGTTCAGAGTAGATACCATTGTAAACACGGAAGACGGAGTAACATAGACATGATTAAGTTTCTTAAATAAGTATGAGCTAAAGCAACATGAATACCATCAAAGACATAGGATTGGATCTGAGTTCTTGTATTGCTGAGCTCATAGAAAGCATCTGACGCCCTTTCAGCCGAGGCTCTATATTGAATTGAAGCAACCACATTAACAAACAAATTATCCTGCAGGAATAATCATACATCAGAATTTGCTGAAATAACCAACAAAGACACAGACAGGAAAAGAAATACATGCCTCTAATTAATTTTGCATTTGTTCGTATTAAAATCAAATTTATGTTAGAAACCATTATCAGAATTTTTTTTTTTTTTTTGGAAGAGCATTGGATTTTGACCATGAAATAGTTTCTCACACAACAATAGATATTTCCAGAAATTAATCATTAGGAATGAAATTTCAGAAATACACCTTTACAGCAGTGATAAATTATGCTGCAAACCTTGGTTTTCGTTTCACAACGAACATGCTGCTGCTGCACACGCAAGGAAAGTTTACCAGCTATTTGTCTTCCAAAACACCATGGTAAACAATGGCAACCAGGCTTAAGCACATCTTTGAACTTCCCATAGGTTTCCGTGATAGCCACTGTTGATTCTTCTACTTTAACGCAACACAAAGCTTGCCCCATCTTCTGAAGGAAAAACACATACAGTTCTCAGTAATGGGCAGGGTTGTCAAACTCGAGTTTTAAATCGTAAAATCGATATTGTGTATGGATTTCGAGTAAAATCTACTTTACAATCGGATTTTTATAAAATCGGATGATAAAAACGTAAAAACGCGATTTTTTTCGTAAAATCGTTTGAAATCTCGATTTTACTTTCACAAAAATTGAAGAAGAGATTTCCAGAAATTTGCCGCAGGGGAAGGAAAGATTTTGGACAGCTGCGGTGCCGGCGTGCCGCTGCTCACTACCACTGCTCACATCTCAGGCACTTGCGGGATGGAAATCTATTTGGTGACCCA